CCCCCCCCCGTCAGTGAGTCGGTAAATTGTTTTCCCAGTCGACAAAACCGTGAACTTTATAGGAAGGAACCGAAACATAATATTTGAATTCTATGAGGAAGAATCTGTCAGAGCACCGGTTAGAGATTGATTTAAGAATCCATTCTCGTCTATTCTGGTTCGCTTGCTGGTCCCTGCACCGCGTCACTGTATGCATGCGTACTTTCGCATTCAAAGATTGGCCTACCTCCACCGAAAAATGAAATCCACAGACATGGATGTGCGGCTATACTCGTTTTTTAGCTCATTTGCATAAGGGCCGGGCCGGCCGGCACATGTTCTACGTTTAAAGGATTAGTGTCACACCAGGAATTCGCGGGCTCAAACTCCTGCTGGCGGCCATTTTTCGGGACGAAAAGATCAGATGATCTGGAAAGTTTTTACAATCCGTCATATAAATATATAATTTAAACCATCCTTTTATAATACTTGCTCTTTTTGTCTGATTTTTATCAGAAATGTACCAAACGAGGTATTTTTATCGCTATTTGTTGTGATTTGAGTAAAATGTAAACAATGTCAAAAGCCCGCAATGCATGCCCTGACACTAATCATTTAAACTAGACCTAAAATAGAAGTTGAAAAATGTTCATTCTTAAATTGAAAGGACCTTATACACTCTTAAAAAAGTCTGGTTAAAATTTCCTGGTTCATACTATTTAGGTTAACTTTGGTTAACCTAATATTCCTCCTACCATAGCCTGATTAATAACTGAATGTAACCAGAAATCTGGTTATATTTGTCCAGGACGTCCTTTTTAAAATAACCACACCACTGGGATGACGGTGCCTATTTGCCAGAGGAATATATGCATCTCATTGGCAGGTGACGTCATCCCTTGGGTATTTAAGAAGCCACGATTACAATTTTAGATCACCCCTGATGAAGACACTAGACTGGAGTGTCGAAACGTTGGGTCTTGATTACAATTCGACTGGGCTTTGTAATAATTTATTTAAACCAGAGTAGCGATCGAAATACGATTGATATACCTGCTTGCAGTGAACGAACAAACTTTAACCACACTATGTTAGGTGGGTATACAAGCAGGGACCGCGGGTTATTTAGCTATCTAACATAGTCTGGTCCAGGGCGTCCTGGTGAAATTAACCAGATTATGGTAGGAAAACGATTAAAATAACTTGGAAAATTGTCCTGGAATTTTAAATGGTTAATTGGCTAAATTGCAGACTTGTGGTTTCATGACCACTAGTTCAATTATGCGGTATTTTCTGTGCTTATATTGCATTGTCAATGAATGCCAACATTTGAAATTTCAGTCGAAAAGAACTGTTTATTTACTTCGTACTCAACTACTGCTTATGATAAAACTCTCTGAACAAAGCAATATATTAAAAATTATAATAAAAATCTGATGGCGAATTTTCTCTGAGGGCATATGTCCCCCTACCGCGTTACCCGCTATGAACACAACTCGATATAAAGCTCTCTGCACAGAAGACAAAGAAACGATGGGAAATTCTTTAAATTATTTAAAACATTGACGTATTCAAAAATAGTTATACTGTATACATGCAAAATTGCATCTGCATTGCGAAAATGGGGTTATTCGTGTAAATCAGGTTGCCCCCTTTGGCTTTGGGTTCGGCTGTCCCCTTATAATCGACTTACATTTACGGCCAAACTGAATGACAGTAAATTAGTGTTGTATTTCCGGAGGTTATAATATAACGGTATTCATTGATAATTAATCAGTGAAGCAGCCATCTCATTTGATCCATGAAATTTGGACTGAAAAAATTCACTAACTGCATTATTCCCATTCGGGCTGTTAGTACATTTAAAACACTATAACAGCTATAAAAATCTATGGACATTTTAAAATAAGAAACTTTATTGGTTCAATTATACTGTATATTTTGTTCGGTGGGTTAGAGGAAAAAACTGTAGTTGTTGAGTGTTATTAGCAAGGTGCAAAGTTCAGTATCATCACAATCACCCCTCTTTTGGTATTAAATACTCTGGTGTAAGACAGAGCAAAAGGTTAACAGGATACACTGGCAGATAGTCTGATTAACCCATCAAGTGCAGTAGTCTCCCCTTGACGAGTAAAATTATCTGCCGTTAGAGAGAGCAAAATACTAAAGTAGGGTCGAGGCACATTAGCACCTAAAGGGTTAATCCATGGAAACCAAATTGACAAATAAAATCAATGTGATATGACTGGTTAGCAACAGCAATTGGTGAAAAATGCACCCTCCCACCCCCTTCCCACCCTGCAATTAACCAAAGGCACAAATCACATAATTAAACTGATGAAACTTATAATGTTAGTACATTTAAAACACTATAACAACTATATAATTAATTGTACGACTTAAATAAACTATCCTTTTTCAAGCATACATAACATATACCAATGTCACTGATTGAAAGTCAACATCATTCATTGAACATTGATAATAAACAGCTCACCAGTTCGACAGAAGATTTGCATGCTATCTCTTAAAGCAATAAATAGCTAACAATCAAATAGCATTCTAATGCAGGTATACCTTTTAACAAATATATAATAAACCTAAATATGAAAGAATTAAGTTAATTGTTAATTGCATAATAGATTCAGTGCAGGAATATGGGGTATGTCCGAGTTAATATCAGATTTTAGTCCATTTATGTAAACACCATTGCAGTTTTCCATGGGCTTCGGATTGGCTGCATGTGAATGCTTGTGTTCTAGTAACATGTTATTCTGAGGACCAAGTCCAACACAAGCCCGGAAAATGTTCTCGATGCAAGCACGCTGACGGAATAAGGCATTAACAACAGGTGTACCGTTGGGTACTATTGGGGCTTTAAGTAGATAGCTTAGGATAGATAGGATGCTATTAAAACTTTGGAATTTGGTGTCACCACCAGCTTGGAACTTTATCCTCTCGCACACCTCACAGAGTATAATCAAATCGAGAATAATTGGTGCGGCCAGTAACGAATCCTCACATGTATTGTGAATAACAAGCGTATTCGTACCATTCATAAATATCTCGGAGGTATACTCATCCATTGCTCGTTTACTATCCTTGACATAGGGCACATACTTGATAACCACACAGTGATCAGGTTTTTCACCTTTCTTGTACAGAATCGGGTTCGATTCCACCATATCATCAACCACGTTGCTCTTCGAGATTTCCTTAGAGCGAAACTGCTTAGCCGAGGAGAGATTTTTGCCATCGTTGTTGCCCAAGTGGTTGTAACTCACGATCGATACCGGTTTGATCCCAGCACTGACCAGAAAATCAACCAAAACCGATTTGATTTTGGTCTGACCCGATTTAAAGTCATCGCCAGCCAGGAATGTATGGTATTTCTCAGCCAGTGCAACCACGCCTGGTACGAACGTGTTTTGGGGAGAGCCATTTATATACGAACAGCGCTCTAAAATGCTTGCAACCGCGAACAAAGTCGATGGCGAAACTTCGTCTTCGTTGCGAGCAATCGATGCCAACAGATGCTCACAGGTGTCGTTGAGGCCAGCTTGAATTTCACAAAATCGTTCGGTGTTCGCTGTCCAAAGTACGACGACCTTATCTAGTTGATTCTTGGCTTTGAAGTCGCGAATATCCGCACGGATTTGCTCGACCATTTGCTTTTTAGTGCCTTTGAGAACATTGTCGGCGCGATCGGCCTGATTAGCGGCTATAAAATCGGGGCAATAGATCGAAGGTCGCGGTTTTAACGACTCGAGGTAGGGACGAAGTTGGCGTTGCAGGTCGAAGTCCAACACCTCGGCACGTCGCATTGCATCGGCAATATTCATCGAGTTAATATCCCAACCGTCGAAAACGATATCGTTTGGCTCGACCATCGGTAGTAAAGCTTTTAGAGGGACAAAAACCTCGCCATCTTGACCAGTGCCCAAGCTTACGGTCGATGCTTGTGTCACCGAACCGGTGTAGTTCGGTTTCATTACACCAGACTTTGTATTCCATGATAAACAGAGTTTATTCGCCAACACCGAAGCTGTTAGCGTGGTGCCGTTGTTGCCACCCCAGCCAACGAGCATGCAGCCGAGTTTCGGCACTTTTCGCTCGGTTTTAAATGTATAAACCGTCTTCTTTGGGATCACTTCTATCTTCCCGCCATGTTGTTTCACCTCGGAGGTTTCGTAATGATACAAACTCTCGATGTATTTCTCGGTATAAACAACGTTTGGACTTGTAACAGTGAAGGCCATTTTATCTCATAAAGTCAAATACACACACGCCTTAATTCGTACAGTTAGTTGTACGATTTGAATAAATTTTCCAAAATGCAAATGTTTTATATATGCTCTGCTGCAATCGCCTGACGGAAGTGGTCAATTTCAATGACTAAGCATGTGTTTCCGGTCGCAGGGAAAACTACTCATTAATTATGCCGGAAATTTATACGTGGGCAAATTTTACAGAACCACTGAACCAGCGAGTTTTCTACGACAAGTTTTTGGCTTTTCGGCATGACAAGTTTTTGGCTTTTTGGCCTCCACAAATGGCTACTACAACAATATATCGCTGTCCAAGTGCTCAAATACTTGTTCAAATTCTCTTTATTGAGAACATTTTTTTATTACAATTCGACTGGGCTTTGTATTCATTCAGCCTAGTCCCAGGCTCTCTCTCTATTCACTGCTTTGATATATTTAAATAAGTCTTAAAGGTTTTATGCCTGGGTGTGCTGTGCGGAACGCGTCAGCGAGAGAGCCTAGCAGATTTCGGTAAAATGGTCCCTGATTTCAAAAAAGTGGTCCCTGGCCTGGTTACCAAGCATACCGTATTTGTAAATAGAAAATGTTATGGAAATTTTCTTTGCGTTTATAATTAAGTCATTAGTTTTGCTCTAATGCTGTCGGAACAATGAAATTCGCTACCATACGGTCAGAATGGAATAACAGGCTAAATATGACTCGTGTTTACTAAATTATAAAGCCATATTAAATGCTATGTAGAAGCTTGAAAATTATGCCGAGTCTCCGACTAAAAATGTTTTGACAACACAGTACAGTCATGTTTACAATCTCCTCAGCTACTTAAACCTGTCAAGTAGAAAGCGTAGTTGTGTATACCAGTTGATCACAACTTGCGAGTATATAAATAACATCAACGATTATACGACCATTGCTGTTTGTATATAATTTTTTTTAATTGAGCACATTTTTAATACAGTTTGAATTTGGTTATGTAGACATCGAACATGATCAACGAACATTGTCGTATTTGCAAGGTTATTTGTATATATAAATTTTCCGCCATATTAAAAATACTGAAATCTGCTAGGCGTTCTGGAGCACCTTTAGCGGTGACGTCACACCTAGGTCCCA